ATAGAAATGTTCTACATCTTATTTGGGGGGCTGTAGTCATTTTTTATTGTTATAAATTATACTTCAATTAAAAAATATGACCCCCCCCCCAAAAAAAAATCCACCTCTGAAGGGGTGGAGGGAAGAATTGGACTTTCTTTTCCCCAGCACTTCCCGGCCAGCAATTGCAAGGCGCTGCATTAGGACAGACAAGAGGCAGAATCATGGAATCTTCTAAACTACTTCTAGGAGATGAGACTGATGCTTCTGACACTGCCCTGAGGGTGGGCTATTAGCTGGGTTGGCTCCAAGTGTTACTGGCACTCGGAGAAGAGGAGGTGAGTGAGAGCTGGAGTTGTCAGGAAGACTTCATAGAGCTGGCAGACCTTGAGTGGGGCTGGAAGGTGGGGTGGATTTGGAAAAGCTGGAGGTAAAGGTGGAGATGCCACAGGAACTTTGTAGCTTTGTAGAAACACAGTAGGGTACACAGTGAAAAGTGAGTCTTCCACCATCCTTGAGCCCATTCTCTGAACCCCTCTGCCGAGTCTGGCTGTGTTTCCACATCGTTGTGTATGCTCTCAGAAATACTCAGTGCATCTACACTCTGCTTTGTATTGTTCCTTTTCACTTCATAATTTAGATAAATTTATTCCATATCCACCCAAAAAGGTATCCATTTTTTTTCCATGGCAGTATTGTAGTACAATGTATGGATAGAACAGTGTTTTTAATCATCTCTCTATTAATGGATATTTTGATTGTTTCTAATTTTTTAACATGACAATACTCAAATGAACATCACTGTGCATTATCCTTGCATACCTTGGCAGATATCCCCATAGAATAGGGTTCTGCAAGTGAAGTTGCTGCTCAAATCTTAGGTACCTTTAAAATTTGACCAACAAAAAAGTTACACCAAATAACTCTTACCAAACTGTAAGAGAATGGCTATTTACTCAGAGTCTCATCAATATTGGGTATTATTCATTTAAAATTTTATCTTACTGATTTGTGACAAATTTCTTATTTTAATTTTTAGTTCTTTGATCACCTTTGAGGTTATGTGTCTCTTTTTGTATGTTTATTAGCCATTTCTATTTCCTCTTCTGTGAATTTTCCATTTTCCTGTCAATTATTCACTCTTTTGTATGTGCTCTTTATATATTAGTGATGTTAACCTTTTTATATTATATGTTGCATGTACTTTTCAAGTTTGTCATTTGTTGTTTTAACATTATAGTGTCTTTCACTGTTCAGTTGCTTCAAACTTCTTTATAGTCTGTGAATCTTCTTATTTATAGTTTCTGAGATTTGTGTCTTGGCTTAGGAAGGCCCTTCTCCCACCTGAAGATAGCAAAATATTCTCCCATGCTTTCTTGTAGTATTTTGACCTTTCCTTTTTTCTCTCTCTCATGCACACACTCACATACATACATACATATTAGATCTTGGGATCTTTAATCATCTGGAAATATGTTTGTATAGTAATATACATGGCCTAATTTCCTTTTCTAAAAATAGATGCCATATTGTACAGACACCATTGGTTGACTAGCCCCCTGATTTGACATGCTGTATTTATCATAACTCAATACAGGTTTATTTGAACCATTCATTCTGTGACATGGATCTCTTTGCCTTAGTCTTGCTCTTGGAACCCTGTTGTCTTCATTCCTGTAGCTCTATCGCGTATTTCCTATCTGTTAATGCAAGTCCCTTTGCATTATTCTTTTTGGAAATTTTATTGGCTATTCTTATGCCTTTGCTTTTCTGGATGAACTTTGGAGTTTCAGAACACATGCAGTGTATCCCATTGGAATTTTGATTGGCTTTGCATTGAACTTAAAGATTTTTTAAAGTGATAATTGACAGCATTATAATTTTGAGTCTTAGATCTAGGAATATGTCATTTCAGTCTTCTTGCTTTTATCTCCTAAATATCTCTTTGGTTATTGCTTTTCCTTTACTGTTGCCATCTTAGCCACCATCACCTCTACACTGGGCTTTGTAAGTAGCCCATTGAGTGGTCTGCTTGTGACCACTGGCCCCTCTGATCTGTTCTCCACACTGTGGGCTTAGGATACTCCCCTCTGGCCTCCCTCTTCACTCAGTTGATTTCTCCTCCCCTGTAGGTCTTAGCTCACTTGTCGTTTCCTCAAGGAAACCTCCTCACTAGGTGGAATCCCCGTTTACAGCCTCACTGCACTCTGTACCGGCTCTTCTGAGCGCTTGGTCCAGTTGTGATTTTACATTTGTGTGTCCTTGGAGTGGAAAGTGAGTCCTCTGAGCAGGGGCTATGTGTGCTGTTGTCCTCTTTGTAGTCCCCTCCCGCCAGCCTAGTGTCCGGGAGAGGAGGTGCTCCTTAAATTCCTGTTCAGGTCAGTGAGCTTCGTGTTCTTCTCTGTTTTTTTATGTCTTTATGTAAAACCTTATAGTTTTCTTCATGTGCTATTTTCATTTCTTGTGAAACTTATGCCTATAATATATTTTTTAAACACATTTGTGAATTGAGCTGTTTGCTTTTTTTCCCCCTTTTTTTGAGGAAGATTGGCCCTGTGCTAACATCTGTTGCCAATCTCCCTCTTTTCTCTTTTTTTCTCCCCAAAGCCCCAGTACATAGTTGTTTATCATAGTTGTGGAGTTGTAGCTCTTCTATATGGGACGCCACCTCAGCATGGCTTGATGAGTAGGTGAGTAGTTCCACGCCCAGGATCCGAACTGGTGAACCCCGGGCCGCTGAAGCGGAACACGTGAACTTAACTGCTGTGCCACTGGGCCAGCCCCCCATAACATTTTTTATTTAGTTTTTTTGTCGGCAGAGAAAAGCTATTGATTTTTGAGTGTTCTTGTATCTGGCTGTCTTGCTGAACTCAGAACCCTGGTTCCTCCTGTCTCCAGGTTCTGCCGGCCACTCTTTGTTGGCTTCATCCTCGGGCTGGCCGAGTGCTAGATGGCTGTGGCAGTCCCCAGCCTCACATCTGACCCGAGCAACCTTCAGAGGAAGCAAGAGAGGGCTGCCTCCAAAAAATTTCCCAAGAGCGAGGAGGAGCTCTCTCAGAAGCCCCCAGCTAATCTGCTCTCTCTTCTCAGTGGCTCAGATAGGGTCCCAGGCCCCTTGCCAAGTCAGTCATGATGAGGGTGTGGCTCAGCTCTGTACTGATCAATCAGGCCCACCTTTGAAGGGGGATGAGTGGGTTCAGCTTCCCCTGGGCTGACTCCCCTTACTCCCAGAGCTGCTGGGGGGCGGTGTGCACAGCTGGAATTCTGCTACAAAGGTGAAAGGGGCAAATGGCCCTGGGTGAAAGTCGACACCTGACATCCATCAGAATGGTCCTGTGGGTTTTCCCATCAACCCATCTTAATAAAGTTACAAGATTTCGTGATTTGGAACCATGCTTTCATTCCTGGAGTAAATCCTACTTGTGTGCACTATTCTTTGAATATCTGGGTGTGTTTCGATCTGTTAAGATTTTATTTTGGACCTTTTTGTCTGTATTCACAAGTGAGATCTGTCTGTGTTACAAAAAGCCTTTTTAATAACGGAAGTTAATAGAGTGGAAAGACCCTGGGATATGAAGGTCACTTAGTTCCTGTGCCACCGTTGTCAAGTCACCTAACCTTTCTGAGACTTTTCCTCATTTACCCAGTAGGATCACAGCCCAAAACAAGCTGGTTTGAGGATCAAATAAGATATTATATATGAAAGCTCCTTTTAAACATTAAAGTTTACAAAAAGTCAGAACTTTGTCTCATACTGTATATTCAGGATACCATTTTTGTGAGTTTCTTCCTTGAGGAGACAGGTTCAGAGAGCATTAACAACTGAGATTTCTCTTGGCTTTCTCATAAACCGTAATCAGAAAACCAGCCTCCTGCAGTAGGAGAGGCACCGGGAATATGATTGGTAAACATTACATTATTGGTGTGCAGATATTAGGTTCCTGCTTTTCATAATATCCTCAGGGAACTGGGGAAGATTTGATATTTTCTGAGATTGCTGTAAAATGTACATTATTATGGGTACTATTGCCCAATTATTCTGTACTTATTTTACTTAGACTTTAGTAATTGGAAAAAGATTAGAAGTCAGGACTTTGTATTTTGTTGATTATGTTACCAAAGTCTTCTCTTTAATTGTTTCTTTTATTCCTATTATTAATCATTAGCTCTGAGCTGTTAGGAGAAGAACCTAATGGTGGATACCTAACTTAAAGGGAAGAAAGAATTACCTCAGCTTCAGTGGGATTGACTGAGTGTTGATACACCTACAAATTGAAATGTGTGCTACAGCCATTCAGGGCATGTGGCTGAGACACTTAAGGAGACACAGAAGGTCAGACGGAATTCAGGGGCTCTTATCCTGACCCCTCCGTCCCCCTCTGTGCCCTCTCCTGCCCTCAGAAGCTTGTATTAGTCTACCTGGAAGACGTTATTGTCCTTGGTGTGTATATCATGGCTGCATCCTTAATCAGTGCTGCATAAACACAAGCTTATCTCCATGAAATAATTTCTTTCAAAACCAGTCCTGATAAAACTTCCTCATGTAGGTGTTCTTAAACAGTAAATGGTGAGAGGGAGACAGGAGGAAAGAAAGAAAAACTTATTAAGATGTTAAGCTGGGGAAAAGGCATTCAGGAGAGAGAGAGTTGGGGGAAGGGAGAGAGAGACAGAGAGAAAAGGAAGTGGGAGGGAGGGAAGGAGGGGTGGAAGGAAGCTGGTGTCCTCTGAACCTCACCTGGCCCAGGGTGGAGCTAGGGGCACTTGGGATGCATTTAGCAAACATGGGCTCTCTAAGATTTAAATGTAAACAGGTGACATTTAGCTTTGTTTGAATAGAGTGGTAACTTTTCTCGTATGTTGAAAACAATCAATATCTGAAATTTTTACCATTTAGGTTCATTCTGTTTTCATTTATGGGGCTCACTGCCCCTAATAACACTGGTGGAAGATGTTAAAGCACTGGGGGGAGTTTGCTCACTGATTGTAAACCCTGTTTTTCCTTGTCTCTTTTTTGCCAACAGAGGAATTACGGAAGTTGAGCTGGTCTGGGATCCCTAAGCCGGTTCGTCCAATTACATGGAAGCTACTCTCAGTAAGTCTCTCCGGCCCTGCTCCTCGGCGCTGTGGTCCTCTTGTGAGGCACGCTCCTGTTACCTGGGCCAGGTGTGGCCCATGAGCCGAGCCCAGACACATGCTCCGTCCTTGTTGCGGTGAGGGACCTTTGCCTGGGCTAAGATGACATTTTCCATCCTTTGCTTAATTTCAAGCTTGGTTTGACAAGGCTGGCAGAAAATGAGGATAAGTAATAATTTATGACAGCTGTGTTCTTTTTCTCTGATTTTATTTTTTAAAATCTTTGTAATATTTTCAAACTTGTGATATAGAAAGGTTCCAGCAGAGAAGATTATTTCAACTCTGAGGGATCAATGGCAGGGAAATGTGTTTGACTAAGGTGTTGTTTTTTTAAATATTAGTAATGATGCTGGGGAAAAACAGTTGATGTCAGAAGCAGTTTGTGTTCCTGTGATGGAGAGTGGGGTTCCGGCGTCCTCACCCCTCGTGCTACACTGCCCGTCTTGGAGCCCTCCTGGAGGGGGTGGTGGATGGTGCTGATCAGCAGAACCTTCGTGTGCTTAGGTGGGTGGGGCTCAGTGTTGGAAGTGGGCGTGGCCCTGCTCAGAGTCTCAGGATAGTTTATAGACAGCTTTCTTCTCTTTTCCTTTTTTTATTATTTTTGGAGCTGAGTCAATAGGGAACTCTAAGTGTTTACTCTAAATTGGGTCTGACTTTCAGTATTTAAAAGACTCTTTCCTGCTAATGAATCTTAATAAATTTGCAGCTCAGCACCTCGTAATCCTAAATGCAGATGCAGCTCTGAACAGTGAATATTTATTGATTAAATATTCTCTTGCGGGCCGGCCCCGTGGCTCAGCGGTTAAGTGCGCGCGCTCCGCTGCTGGCGGCCCGGGTTCAGATCCCGGGCGTGCACCGATGCACCGCTTCTCCAGCCATGCTGAGGCCGCGTCCCACATATAGCAACTAGAAGGTTGTGCAGCTATGACATACAACTATCTGCTGGGGCTTTGGGGGGAAAAATAAATAAATAAAATCTTTAAAAAAAAAAATATTCTCTTGCAATTAAAATTAGACCTGCTGCAATTGCTTATATTTTTGTTTGTTTTTTTATTTTAAGTGTTTGTATCTAGTTTTCTAAATGTCCTCTAAGATAGGTTACAAGCTTTTCAGATCGAATTGTAGGAAGTTTTGATGAAAATACCTTTAAGACCCTTTATTGGATTTTGTGTTTATTAAGGGTGTACTGCGTCTGGGTGGAAAGTCTGATGTGAATTGTTTTGTCCTGTTCTTTTCCCTTTAGTTCTCAGTCTCTGTGGTCCTAGTTTAGATAGCCTCTATGTGCTGCGCAGGGGTTGACTCAGAACGTGGGGGATCTGGGGACTCAGTGGACAGGAGCAGAAGGGGAGGCGACAGAGGCTCCCTTTGGTGGTTTGAATGGGAGGAGGGTGGCAATGGGCAGAGTCTGTACCCAGGAATGCTGGGCATGCCTTCCCAGGCACGTTGTTCATTTAACCGTCACTGATTCCAGGGGCCTTTACCTGGAGACAGAGATGAATTAGACACCAGTCCCACCATTAGGAGGATTTGGTCAGGGGTGCAGTGCAGTCTGGGGACCACACACTCGTGGGCTGTCCAGGACACAGGCGGGAGCCAAGGGCGAGAGGAGCGCAGCAATGTGAGTGCCGAGGTCGAGGTCGGGCCTCCTGGGGAGGAGGCCCACTCCCAGGTCTGCAGGGATGGGAGTGGGGAAGGAGGGAGAGAGGGACAGAGATGAATGTGACAGTTCTGGCCCTCTCTTGGGCTTGGGTTGACGGATGATCAAAAAGAAAAGTGTCGGGGTCAGTGAGCAAAAGCCTGTCCTTCCAAAGGGGGGACACCAAGAAAGGGAGGGGTAGTTCCAGGGCAGTGCAGACTCACGCAGATGTCAGGCAAGGCTTCTTGGTGAAGGTGGGATGCTTCTGTGGCATCTTGAAGGGTGTGTCGGTGTTCCCTGGGTGAGGGAGATGGAGCGGTCGTATGACCTGGGGGATGAAGTGGGGGTAGGATGAGCAGGACCCAAGGCTGAGGTGAGCTGGCTCCCCAGGAACTGGCAGGTTGACCACTTGGATGATGGAGTTGGGAAGCCAGGGTAGCTGGGGACCAGGGGAAGGCCAAGTGCTCAGGGCCGCGGGTGCATTGCTCGAGCTGATCCTGAAGGATACGAGTGGGGGAGTGATGAGGCTATTTAGGGAAGAGTAAAGCCAGGAGCCTCTTGAAAGCTCCTTTGGTTGGTTTATCCATTCATTAGATCAGTATTAATTGAGCACTTTCTGTGTCTCAGGCACTGTATTTGGTGCTGGGAAATAGTAGGGAAGGGAAAACGACCAAGTCCCAGTCCCTCATGGGCCTGCAGAGAAGAGATAGAGACCCTGCCTTTCTCTGTCTTCCCCTGGGACAGACCTGGGTCTTACTGCATGGGAAGGAGCCCGTTCTCTCGGGAGTCTGAGCCCCAGTGCCCTGCTCACCTTGGGTCTCTTCCTTTGCTTTTTCGTTTGTTTTGCAAGCATGTTTTGAGTGCTTGCTGTGTGCCAGACCACGTGCCTGTGTGAGTCCCGTGGAAGCAGTGGTCTGAGTGCAGAGTGTGTGAGCAGGTCCCTCGGGTCCAGAGTTGTTCTTGACCAGTGTCCGCTCCGAGGAGGAAGCATGGTGCTGGGTGTGAGAGGAGGCTGTGCCCGAGTGCCTCTTGGAAGGGGATTAGAGCCGGGCAGGGAAAAGGGGAAGGGGAGGAGGGGTCACAGGCTGTGCGTGTGGGCAGGAGGAACCCAGGCAGCTGGAGTAGGAAGCCAGCATTGGATCTTTGGAGCTGTACTCACTCATCATTCAGGGCAGACATTCAGGGCTCCTTATGCCTTCGCCACGCCCCGGGCCTGTGCTGGCGAGCGGTGATGTCACCCCAGCCTACACTGGCTCCCAGTCTGCCCGGGGAGACAAGCCTGTGCACAGCCTTTCTGCACGGTGGTGTATGCCTTGGCAGGTGAGGGTGGGCTCTGGGCATCCAGGGGAAGGGAGCCCATCAGTTGTGGGGTGCTAGTCAGACATGGGCGTGGACAGGTGGAAGGAGGTCAGAGTTGTGGGGGCCGTCATCTCTTGTCCTCTAATCACTGACCCAGGAGCTCACTTATGAGCCTCTCTCCTTGTCCTCTGGTTACTCCCAGGCACGGTCAGCCTAAGAACGTTTTCTGCAATTGAAGATTTTGGGGAGCATGGCGAAGGATGCCAACCACTCATCCCTGATTCAGAAGTGTTTTTCACTTGTCTGCCCTCAGCCAGACCCCTTGCAAGGGCTGGGGTCACAAGATGTCTTGGAGAATGTAGGAGAGAGACCCCAGCAGGCACTTTAGGGTCGTGGGTGTGCAGAGAAGGGGTCTCCCCATTCAGGGCTGCCTTGAGGTCATTCTCTGAATCTGAGAGTTTCAGCCCAGCTTCACATTCCACTCTCCTGGGGAGCTTTTGCAGATCCTGATGTCTGAGCTCACACAGCAGTTTGGGGTCTTGGGGTGAACTGCAGCCTGCTGGGAACCATGTGGTCTGCTGAACACCTGCCTCAGGCTGGGCGGGGAGAGGGGGCGGCAAGGACGTGGCAGCTTCAGCCGCCCTCTTGACCTATTGATTTCCTTTCTGGGTACACATTAGTGTCACCTAGGGGGCTTGGCAACTATTGATTCCTGGGTTTCTTAGGGTTCTCAGGTGTGCCCAGTGTTGGGGATTGCTGCTCTAGGACACTCACTCCACGTGGGACGGGGCAGGGCATACATGAGCCAGCTGGGAAACAGGACCCACTGAAGGCAGCACACCTGGGCCGAGGTGTCTGGGTGGGAGAGCGGGTTGGGCTTGACTTACCGAGAGTGTGTTGTCCCAGAGGCTCAGCTAAGTGGGTGGGGTGGGGTGGTTTGTTCCAGCCCACTCAGCTTCCAGGATGAAGAACTTCAGAGTTGAACTCAGGATTGAGGAGAACTTATCATTTGTCCAGTTTGAAAAGACAGATAACCAAAGCTGTACTTGAATGTGAATCTGTGTTAAGACCTGGCAAACTAATGACCCCCCGCCCTGCCATATGTTCATGATTGTCATTAACATGGTCCCGGGGGCTTGTAAAGAGCACTCTTCTTAACTGATGAGTAGGAAATGCTACTTTAACGAAGAAAGATGAGAAGTGTGTCTCTTGTCATTTATGGAGAACTCACGTCTGCTCTAGTCTAGAACGTATCCTTAAACCACTATTAATGCCATTTAACATTTAAATTCCATGCAGGGCCGGCTCCGTGGCTTAGCGGTTAAGTGTGCGCGCTCTGATGCTGGCGGCCCGGGTTCGGATCCCGGGAGCGCCCCGAGGCACCACTTCTCCGTCCAACGTGAGGCCGAGTCCCACGTACAGCAACTAGAAGGATGTGAACCTATGACATACGGCCGTCTACTGGGGCTTTGGGGGGAAAAAACTGAATAAATAAAAATCTTTAAATTCCATGCAGGCGTGGCAGTAACTTTTTAAAAATTAGCACTGTAGAAAATCGTATTTTTGGCTCTTTTTTTAATAACTATTTCAGAAACACTGAACAAAAACTAATTAAACATTTAACGTTTATGTTAGTAGAATGGTTAAAAATGATAAGTGAAACTCCAGTATCATCTTTGCTTCTTTCAATGTATTGAGGTAGTTTTGCACGTGAACCCAGTGGGAGGGAGCGATTTGATGTTTGTGTCACCGGGACAATTTCGATATAAGTATATGCATGCATTGTTTTACATTTATGATTAGTGTTTTTATAGCATGCTAATACAGCAATTAAGTTTTCTGTAGTTCTGTCATTTAAAATTCATTGCATACTTGAATATATTTCATTTGCATAATTTCTAGTCTTGCTTAATTATCTAAAGGCCTCAACTTGCACATGTGTATTTTCCTTTAGGAATGGGAGCGTCAGGAGTATGTTGAGGGGGTTTATTGCCTCTGTTCCCATTATGACATACTTGCCTCTT